TGGCCAGACCTCGTAATCACTCAACACGTGGCAAAGGCAAACAGCTCGGCACAACAGCACACCCAAGGCGCAAGCACCAAAGGGAGGAAACCAGCAGTCCAAACTCCCTACTAGGAGCCTGAACTCCCTACAAGGAGCCCGATCTCCCTAATAAGAGCCCGAACTCTCCCTTAGGCCCCGAGCCACACAGGGCAATGACCCGAACTGGCCCGCCTCATGGCAGTTCGGGACACTCCCCTATCCGAACTCAAGACTTCACCTCACTCGCCACTCCAGCACTTCGCCTCTAAGACGCCGAACTGAACAAACGTACCATACCTGACACCGAGGAGGTCCGTATCCAAGGGCGGCGCACCTGACTAACTTGGGATCTGATGCTTGACAGCCGCACTTCAACGGTCACCTGCCACCGTCATCGCCAGTCGCAGAGACGGCTCCGACAAAATGGAGCAGTGGCGGTTCTGTCTAGCAGAGGGGATGACACCCGAACTGGTAGGAGCCCAGAGGCAATCATACCTGACCTGACAGAAGCTTAGGAGTGAGTGCACGAGGTGGCTATAAAAGGCTCCCTACCCCCCAAGAACAAGGTACGTGAACTTTGCGCCATCTAGTTTTATCTTGCCTAAAAATTCTAACTTGAGCTTCGGAGCATTCATACCGGGTTCCCCCCGGAGTTTCCTCATCTTCTCTGTTTCAGGCTCCCTGTAGCTCCGTTCAGAGGCAAGGTCGTTGTCAGCTAGGACCAGCCGGATTGCGCACCATCACCTTCCATCAGTGACTCCAGCACCATCTAGAAGACAGCCAAGGTCAGTGCTAATTTACCCCGACTTCAATTGTTTGAGATGACCGGTTAATCCCCATGAAGCCTTCTCAACAGACTTGAAAAGGATAAATTTGTGCCAAAGGAGCAGAGCCTGACTATAGTATCTTCTAAGAATAAAATGATGCTGGAGCCACTAACAAAGATGACCTGTACAGTGATTAATATCTCAATTCCAACACATACTCAACTGGAATTAAAATTTTGGTGCAATCTAAATTTTCATAAGCCCAAAAATACTACAAAAATTGTATAGAGAGTCATACCTGTGGATACATGTCAACAGGCAACGAGGGCAGCATATGTTGTCCTGATCACCTTGAATTTGTCCCTGAAAAATGCCGAACTAAATGTGCATGGTTTCCTATAAAATATTTTCTTTGGGAAGAAACCTAGAGAAAGCAGTGCTCATACTAGTTCAAAAAAAAAACTAAATTTGGTATAAGCCTCTTATCGCACATTACATGTGAAACCCAAGAAAAAATAATGGTTTTCCATGGCTCTCTCCTAAAATCTGACAATTACTATTTACACAAACTACAGAAGATATTTGGCACTCAATGGTTTAGTTCTTGGCACATGGCAGAAGCTCCTCTTAGCTGTGGTTATTTCCTGTTGCAATGAAAAGGGTTAGATTTGAATGTTGCGGCAAATGAAAATTACAAAAGACAAGAGAATTTACTGTATATTTTCAGAAACAACACAGAGATGATGTGTTTACCCCTTGATGATGGAGCACTTCTATGTTGAGTTTTGGTATTCTTGTCATGTGGAGCAGAAGGTATCTTGGAGATAATATAGGAGCTCTGTAGCCCTTCCAATAGCTGTAGGCATGAAAATAATGTGTCAATTCACATCAAAACATGCAAAAGCTTGCTGGCTAAGGCATATCCATGCATAACGCCAAGAAAAAGGAAATGTCTCAAGGCAAATAAGGAATCATCATCCTATAAGTCATAAATCTGTATATAAGATATTAAGTATGCACATAGGATACTTCAAACCACAGCCAACTCTATATCAAAAATCACATCCATTGTTTTGGTTGATATGAAGACAATTCAATAGGTAGAGAGAGAAACTTGGGTGGGCCTGGGTTGAACAGTTCTTAAATTTTGAAGGGGCCCAGCCCATACAATGAAAATTTTGAAGGGGCCCACTCCAGGGTATCCTCACAGGGCCAAAAATTTTCAACCTTAGTTTCTAAAGAATTATATTATTTACTCCAACCAAAAAAACACAACAACGCCACATAATCCAACATTCCTAAGACTACAAAATCAGCCCCCCCCCCAACAATGAATTAGATAACACTCCTTCCATTAGCATAGTCATAGAACTTCCATATATCCAACACCTTAATGCAACTCAGCCCTCCAATTTCCAAATTATTCGTTTTCCTCTAATTATCTCCCTATACTCTTCTGTGAGCTTTTCGGATCTCTTTTTGTTTTGTCAATGTCAGATGCTCTCTTAAATGGATCTAGTATCCATGTTGGTACATATATTGGATTCTGGCAACCAAATTATTTGGATTCTTGAAGAACACTTATATGAGACATTTTCCGCTCTTGCCTTTATAATTTCACATGAACAAGTAGTAAGTGCACACAATAATGATATTCCTATAAAACATTATTAATTAGCAAAGATAAAATATAACTGTATAGATAAATAATGTTAGAATTGAAAAAAAATTAAGGGAGAAGTACAAATCAGCCCAGCTCAGAATTTACTAGGCCCAAAGTACAGGGGGGAATGCATCCTGACCGTGAATTGATGCCAAATTCACGGGCAGGATGTGGTTTATAGGGGGGGGACAGGGCTAGTTGTAGGGAGGGCTGGAATTCAGAACTCTGCATCGTGTGTCTCCGTACTTTTCCCAAAAATTAACAGCCATTTAAGAGTTGCAACTTTTTTATAGACATTTCCCACAAGTTCTTTTTAGTCTTATTGAGTCAGACTCCTGGAACAGTACCCTTCATCCACTCAATAACAATGTTCAAAGATTTTATATGACAGATGTAACAGTGCCCTTCATCCACTCCAAAAACCAAATGCATCTTAATCTTATCAAAGAATACCCAAAATGCCAAAGAATTTATTTAATTTAAACCTCTGGTTTTACTTTAACATTCTACGTCCAGCTCATTGACACTCTGCAACCCTTTAAACTGTTTCTTAACTCCCTAATTGATACCTGAAATCCACAATCTTAAGCCAAAAAGGAATTCAACCCCTCTATTTTTTCACTATAAATAATTGTAGCAATTATCTGGAGTAGTGATCCCTTCTGGTTTAGGATCCAGATTCTCTCTTGAGAAACCCATTCAAAGAATACCAAAAAAAGAATCGCAATATAGTGACTGTCTTCCTATTCAGTTCTTCAGAAGATTTCATCAACCTAGAAATGCAAGTACCCAACACAACTAATACAGATAAGAGTTCCTTATTTTTGGATGTTCATGTTGATATTGAACTCCTCTCCATTTACTTACCACTAGAAATGATCAAATCATTTGAAACCCTCTCATGCATCTTTCCATTCATCAATTTAACCCTAAAAAAAAATCCTATCAGTCTTAGTTGGGAAGCCTTTCTGGAAAGAGTGTGGTGTCAAGATCATGGGGAGATGTGTAAGGCCTGCAGTATGTTGGACTGTTTGGGAGGAGAGAAACTCACGAATTCTCTCAGATAAGGAGAGAAGCTTGGAAGTAATTTTGGAGACTATTCACATTAAGGTGATACATTGGTTGAAAACTTTGGAATTGTTTACAGATGTTTCAGTTCATAAGATGATAAGAAATTGGAAGGAGATTGAAGATTCAGCTTCAATTAAGAAGACTTCATGTTCTTGCTGGACACCACCTCACGGGTTTACCAAACTGAATTTTGGTGGCAGCAGCATGGGCAATCCAGGACCCTCCAGAATAGGGGGAATGATAAGAGATGAAAAAGGGAATCCGTTAGCTATGTAATCCAGTCCAATTGGGGTGGGAGATTCCTTGAGGGCTGAGATTCTAGGAGATCTTGAAGGGATACAAAGGGTCAAGGACATGCATATTAAAAAATTGAACATAGAAGGTGATTTTGAAATTGTGGTGAATTGGCTAAAAGAGGACAGCAATGAAAAGAAGAAATTCAAGTGGCTGACTAAGGACATTGAAGTTCGTTGTACATGGATAAAGAGAAGTGCAAATTCATTGGCAGATGGTTTAGCTAGCAAGGGGTGAACAGAAACTCTCTTTTGGGCTGTTTTGTAATTGTTTCACGGTTTGAGTGTACATTGGTGAAGTAGGGAGTTTAAGTTTCTTTAGCTCCTCTTCGACGTAACTCCTTAATTTCTCAATTATTAATAAAATTCATTGTTATTGATTAAAAAAATAAACTGGTATGTTCACAAAAAATCCACTATTTTCTCTCCAAAGAAATACACCAAAGTGATGCCTGAATTTACAAAGCAAGTACTAAATGATTCACTAAATGTGCACTTAAATTCAAGGCTTCAATTTCATATCAGAACAAGTCAACTCCTAGATAAATACCACAGAAACCAAATTTCATGTCAATGCAAACCTTTTTTTTATCAATAAGTACATCATTTCAATTCATTAATGGATCAAAAAGTGTACAATATATAAGAATTACAAGAGAAAGAAGAGTCAGTGAGTGAGATAAAACTTCTTATCTCTCCCCCAGCTTTTCTTCAATTACAAGAGTGCCTAGAATAAAGATTTTCTCCCCACCCCTTGTTTTATAAATACATCAGCTAATGCAAACTTACCAGGCACATTTTGCAGAAACAAAAACAGATGAGTTCAAAAGGTTTGCAAGATCAAAAGAATACAATGGTAATGAATATACATAAGATTGTATCAAATAAGATGCATAAGATTGTACCCTTGATGTTGGCTGAATCCTCCGATTTGATCTCCGAGGCTCAATGACATCAGGAACTTGTTTTGCAGTATTATCATACTGACCAGCATCCTTTTCTTCACTTCTAGCCAACTTCTGACCAGAAGGTGCAGCTTTTCCTTTAGTCCTCAGGGTGGTTTCAATAGAAGAGGACTTCTTCTTGGAGGAAGGAGCATCAGATGCACGAGCAACTGAAGAAAATAAGGTTGAATCCTCGGCGGCTTTGTTGTTATCAGAAAGAGAACAATGTTCCAACTGGTTTTTCTTTTCTGACATGTGTTCATCATGGCTAACAGAAGCTTTGGTATGACCATGCACAGTGCCATCCTTTGAGACAGAGATGACAGACATTGAAGAACTATCTTTCTCAGAATTGTTTCCACCTGTTCTCCCTGACTTAAGCAGCTTGGGCTTGGATTTAGATGCTTGTTTTCCTGCAGAATCAATTTTCCAAGTATTTTTCCATCCACGAGGTCCTGATCCTTGAGGTATCAAGTACTTTGTAAATTTAATTGAATCATTTACTTCAGTTGTCTGGCCACCTTTATCTACAATATAATGTTTGCTTACTTCCATGAATTTCCTTTTCTTTCCAGGTTTAGGAACACCGAAAACAACCCTAGAACCTTCCTTCTGCAAACCAGTCCTCTTTGTTCTGGGAGCATCAGAACTATTTCCTTCTTTGGTACTCTTCCCAACAGTAAACATTTTTTCATTAGCAGATAAAGCCAGAGGTCTTGCCTCCTCAGGTTTCCCTGTATTGTCTATGCCACTCACCTCAACTGCAACATCTGTTTCAGCTCCATGTCTTCCCAACTTTGGCCGCTTTTCCTGAGGAGAATCGCCCTAAGCATTGTAGCAAATGAGTCAATAGACACCCAAAATTTTATACCAAAATAAACATTAATCAGCCAGATAGCATGTGGTGTAAAAAATATTAACAACCAGACCTCGTGAACATAGGGGTTATCTTCCCTTGAACGGGACCATTCAATCCATTGCCCATCCTTCCAAAAGAGAGATGGTCGAAGATGCCAGGCTTTAACAACCAATGTATCACCTTGAGCTGAACAAGACATTGAAGAGAAATTGAACTTTCACAACTACAAATTTTACATGCCATGGGATGAAATCAAGAAATTCAAGTAGTTAACAAGAAATATGAATTTGAGATAACAATGGGTGGGAAGACCAACTAATACTATGGCTGTTTACTTAGTCAAGAGGTGGAAAATATACATCAGTTGTACTGGACTATGTTGTGATTTGTATTTTCAGTTTGTTTATTTTCCTGTTCTCTCCAAGGGCTGCTTGTAATGCTAGATCCTCTTGATTTTAATAAATTTGTCCTTTATCTTGCGAAAAAATCATATGCCATGGCTACAAGAACTCCACTTCAATGGTAAAAATACAGCATTAGATTTCATACCTGGAAAATGGACAGTCAAAGACGTTTCATCTTCCTTGCTCTTTTCTGTAATAATTCCTTCCCACCAGCTGAGAATATAGATACAGACACAAAAAAAGTTAATTCAGAGAAATTCAGAAATTTTAATAAAATGCAGTCATCAGTTACAAGGATCTGTGCATGTACGTGCAGTTATATATTTATAGACAACACAAGTACAATATGTTACTTATTCAATGAGGCAGTAAATATAGGAAAAACCAAGCAATACTCACTAAAATTTATGCAGTCTATTGTGACAGTACAGCTCTAAGGTGACAAATAAGATGGTTTTCTTCAGATAGTTTTAATATTGATTTCCTTTATCAATAACAACATTCAAAGATTTTATATGACAGGTGTAACATAAAACGTTACCAAACAAAAACATAGGAAACAGACAAACTAAAGAAAAAAAACAGCTATTTCCCATATGTTCTGATAAACTATTTCCTGATCAAAAAGGAGAAAAAGGAATAGGGATTGAGTCCCCTAAACATTACTTTTGGTATAGACTTGAATACACTGATGAGAGAAAACAGGGAGGCCTATGATTGCTTCAAGACAGCATGCAACTCAATGTGGTTTCTATCCACTATTTGAACAACATTATCAAATCTGCAGGAGTCAATTGCCAAGTTTTCTCTCACACTGCCTACTGCAAGCCTGGACTGAAGAGGGCTGTGTCAGGTTGGAAACTGGCATAGAAAACATGAACCTCACTCCTTAAACATCACTATTTTGGACAAATGTGGGTGAATAAGCTAATCAAGAGAAGAAGATTTTTTTAGATACTTATGATGCAAGAACCTTATCGGCATAGAAGGAACATGTTGGTTGAACAATGAAAACCAGGTCAGTTAATACTGCATGTTCCTAGGAGAGAGACCACATTTCTTTTCTTTCCTATTTTTTGATGTGGGGGTGGTTGATGCCTATAAATTTTTGCACATGGTAGAAGAAATCTTTTTTATCAGCAAAGAAGAATTTTATTCAATTAAGAGAAACAGTTACAGAATTACAGCAAAATGGAAAACAGGCATTGCACCACAAAATGTTCCAATAAATCCCAGAAAAGCTACTGCCTATAAACTCCCTGTTTGGCTAATGAATCAGCCATCCCATTTGCAGTTCACCTGATCCATGTGAAAGAGACATTGAGTTCCCTTTCTAGGATTTCAACCTCCCTTAGGGGATGTCTATGAATCCAAGGAGCATTGCCCCATGTATTGGTCATTTGGTAGGCATCTTTGTTGATTAAAGGTCTAAAAGAACCAAGCTGAGCTGAGCTCTGGCAGCCCAAACTCGTGACTCGTCTCTGCCAAGCCATTCAAGATATGGTCATATATAACACATGTGGTGGGTTTAGGATGGGGAAGGAGCAAAAGTGAGGTTTTGAAGGTGTTTAGGTAGGGGAGAAAATTAGTTGTGAGTGCAACATTAGCAGAACAAGATGCAACTTGAAATAAATATATAGTCTATATTAGGGAGAAAGACAAGGTGCTTGTGATCACAGCAAAAAAGAAGAAAGGAAAAGGGGGAGAGATTGAGATAACAAACCTCACAAGACCAAGAAAGACAATTTTAAATCAATTAATATTCATTCCATATCTTGTTGAGTGAAGCCTTGCAACATTGTTATAAAGCTCCAAGTAGGTTACACCTGAAGTTTCCTTAACACACTAAAGTACATAATAAACATGAGAAGTAAGAACCGGCAACTTAACGTCAAGAAATGATAGATTACCAAGAATCATAAACCACAATTTTCACATAAATTATACTGCTGTTTTTGAATACCAGATTGGGGAGCTTCCGTTTTACCATTTGGGTATGCTGGTTGGGGCCAAGTCCACTTCAGTAGCTGGTTGGAGGCCAATCATTAAATGAGTGGAGAAAAAACTAGACAGGTGGAAGGCTAAATACCTCTCTTTAGGGGGAAGAATCGCACTGGTTAGGAGTGGTTTATCAAGCTTACCAACCTACTATATTTCATTGTTAAAAGTTCCAGTAGAAGTGGCAAAGAGAGTTGAGAAAATTCAAGGAGATTTTCTTTGGGAGGGTCCCCCCCCCCAAGAAGTTACATCCAGTCAACCAGGATAGCGTGTGGAGGCTGAAGAAGGGTGGTGGTTTGGGGATCAGAAAATTGAGAACATTCAACAAGGCTTTGCTTGGTAAATAGCCGAGGAGATTTGGATTAGAGGAGAGGGATTCGCTTTGGAGAAGAGTGATGGTGGGAAAGTATGGAGTGGTGACTAGTGAGATTTGGGTGGAAATCAAGGGAGGTGTCCACTTCATTTTGGGTGAGTGACTGAGTGTTTGGGAAGGAATTATGAAGTTTAATCAAGAATTCAAGAGTTTAACTAGGTTTTTGGTAGGGGATGGCGTTAGGATAAAATTTGGGGAAGATGATTGGTGTGGAGTGGGTAATTTAAGTGAGCTGTGCCCGAGGTTATACAGGTTGGCTGGTAATGATATAACAATCTGCCAATGCTATAAGATGAGAGAGGATCAGTTGGTTTGGAGTCCTAAATTCAGAAGGCCTCTTCTGGACAGGGAGGTGGAAGAATTTATCAGGCTCCTGGACCTGGACGTGCTTGAAAAATTAAAGGTGTGAAGCTGCATTCTGATTGCTATCTGTTCCACCATCTGGAAAGAGAGGAACAGAAGAGTGTTTGAAGATGAGCATTGGAAGATTGAAAAAATTGTGGCAATCATTGGCAAGTGTTTAGCAGATTGGGTATTTATTCTCCCTGAACTTGCACAACTCCCGATCAGATTTAGGAGTTAATTTTTGGGATGTTCTTGAGTTACAAAATTGTAATTGTGGAAGTTTCTTTTGATTTGTCCCTTCTCATTGTTACCTTAACACCAGAGTAGATTGTAATTATCTTTTTATTTTAATGAAAATTTTCTTTTTATTATCAAAAAATCACTATTAATAGTAATTGCACGTATTACTATAAATAGAAAGTATTTGAGTTATAAATAATTTAGGTTTTCACAAAGAATTGTAAATTTCTAAAAGACTGAATCCATAATTCCTTTTCAATTTTAGTTCCTGTATTATCTGGTTTGTTATCCTTTGATGCAGGAGAAAAGATTATGTATTTTTTATTCAAATGTTGAATAATAGTGCATTAAATAGGTGGACATGTAATAACATTGGTGGTGTAAAAAAACATAATGTCTAGCATGACTTGGTGGCAATGCAACAAGGAGAAAAACACATTGGGATGGACCCATCCAGTAGACATGATGAAGTATTGCAGAGTTCCAATGGTTTGAATGTTTAAGAGATCCATCTGACAGACTGAACAGTGAATACTGAGTTTCAGACTTTTATAAATTAGATTTTTCCTAGTTAGTTTAGTGTGGTCAAGGCTTTGTAAGTATCTAGCCTGCCCAAGAAAGCCAAATGAAACATGAGGTTGTCCTTATCCAGTCTTTTCCTACCCAAGGATCTGGCCTTGCTTCTTGGAAGAAAAACTACCTATCTCTTGGAGGAAGAATCACCTTAATGAGGTCTACTTTAGCTAATCTGCCCATTTATTACCTTTCAATTTTTAAGGTACCTACAGGAGTGGCTAGCAAATTGGAAAAACTAATGAGGGACTTCCTATGGGAGCCAGGGGAGGAAAAAAAAAGGATCATAGGGTTAGATGGGAGATGGTGTATAGGAGTAAGCAGGATGGAGGGCTAGGTATTGGGAATTGAGGAAGAGGAATTTGGCTTTGCTAGGGAAATGGTTGTGGAGGTTTTCATTGGAGAGGGAGAAATTGTGGGCTAAGATAATTTGTAGTATTCACGGGCTTGTAGGGAATGGTTGGGACTCTGGGATTCTGGCTATGGCTACAAGAGCATCACCCTGGAAATCCATCCAAGCTATTTTGCCTCTTTTCTCTCCTTGATCAGGTATGACTTGCACTCGGGTAATCTAATAAAGTTTTGAGAACATGTTTGGGTTGGGGAGACCCCTTTGGAAGACCAATTTCCGACTTTATTTGCAATCTCCACCTTCAAAAATGAACCAATTGGCACTTTCCTTGTTTCCTCAAATTCAAATTCTGGGTTTGGATGGAACTTGGGTTTGAGAAGAGCACTCGGGGACACAAAACTGGATAATATTTCAACTCTTTTGTCCATTCTTGATGGGATTTTTCTAGAGCCTACAAAGACCTTCCGGATCCTTTACTTGTGCCTCCTTCTTTAAAGCCCTAATACAACCAGAAATTCCTATTGGTTTGTCATTCCCTGTGTGAAGGAAGTGTGGTGTAAACCTATACCTCCGAGGGTTGGGAGTTTCTGTTGGGAAGCTTTCCTAGAAAGAATCAACGCAGATGATTACTTCAAAGAAAAAGACCCAATAGTTGTTTATCTCCACACTAGCGTGTTTTATGCAAAGTTGCTAGTGAGTCTGGTTACCACTTACTAATATCTTGTGTTTTGGCAAAAAAAAACTTGGGATTGGTTTGCTTCTTTGTTTGGGTGCAGGTAGATATCTCCAACTAGTGTACAAAGCTTGTTTTCCTCTTCTTCTATTGAATGCTCAACAAAAAGATCAAGAGCTATGTGGAGATGCATGAGAGTTGTTGTTTGTTGGACATTATGGGAAGAAAGAAATGCAAGGATCTTTTCGGAAAACGGGAGAGGCTTGGAAACTATGGTAGAACTTATTTGTATAAGAGTAATACATTGGTTGAAGACAATGAATGAGTTCACAGATTTTTCAACAAATGATATGTTAAGAAATTGGAAAGAAGTTGCTAGCTCGGTTTCAAGAAAGAAGACTTTGAATCTCAATTGGAACCCACCACCTCTTGGTTTTATCAAACTAAATTTTGATGGCAGTAGCATGGTGTTAGGAACTGCCTAACTCAGGGACTCTTTCAAGGGAGCCTACCTCCAGAATGAGAGAGAGAGAGAGAGATAGAAAGGAAGAGAGGTTGTATTCCCAATTCAATAATCGATTATGTTATTTATACACTGCTGTTACATTGCTGTTACAATTCTGTTATACCAGCCTCTCCCCTTGTCTAGTTTGTCATTTAGTTTGTTCTAGTGGTTGGCTGTTAGTTATATTCTTTAAAGGCTGACGTGGCCTTTTCTTGTACACTTATATTCCCTTTATTTGTGTCTCAACACATGGGGAATCCAGGGCCTTCGGGTATTGAGAGGGTACTAAGAGATGAGAGAGATCATGTAATAGCTTTGTTCTCTGGCCCAATTGGAGTGGGAGACTCCTTGGGGGCTGAGGTGTTAGCAGCCTTGGAAGGGGTGCAAAGGGCCAAAGAAATTAATGCGAAGAAACTAATTATAGAGGGAGATTCTGCGATTGTAGTGGACTGGTTAAAAGAAGACACTTCTAAGATGTGGAGCTACAACAATGAGAAGAGAAAGTTCAAATGGCTGATCAAGGATATGGAAGTCCAATGTACTTGGGTAAAAAGAAATGCTAATTCCTTTGCTGATGGATTAGCTAGGCAAGGGGTTAATAGGGTTTCTGGGTTCTGGGCTCAGTTGTAAGTTTTTGTGTTTTTAAGTCAGATGTATTCCCATATCTTATGGAGTTAAGAATTTTTAGCTCCTATTCCTTCTAACTTTATTCCCTTGTTAATGAAATCAGTGATTATTGATAAAAAAAAAAAAAGTTCTAATGGTTTGAACGTTTAAGAGATCCATCTGACAGACTGAATAGTGAATACTGAGTTTCAGACTTGTATAAATTAGATTTTTCCTGGTTAGTTTGGTTTGGTCAAGGCTTTGTAAGGATCTGGCCTGCCCAAGAAAGCCATATGAAAATTGAGGTTGCCCTTAGCCAGTCTTTTCCTTGTGGACCCAAAGGTATCCTGAAGTGAGTGAAACCCTTGTATTCATTGGCATGGCAAGAAAGCTAGAGTTACTTCCACGCTACAGGATTTCAATGGATCAGAAGGCTGTGCCTTGTCTGCCAGTATTCAAGATGCTCCATCAGTGAAAAAGTTGAAGCATCAAGGCAATTGTTATCCAACCAACAAACATTTGGGTGGGGTTTCTGCTTAAGGGGCAAACTTTTTTCCATCTTGTTATTTATCATTCATTGTCTCAATTTCAGGCTCAAGAAGAGTGGGAAAGGGTAGTTACCATAGTTGATCATTTGAGTGATCACGCAGCAGTGAACAAGGATTGGGAACTGTTTCACTAGTAAACTTTGTGAAGTAAATGTGAGGTGTGATATGGAGGTAGAGGAGGAAGGAGAGTCTTTTTCCACTGACCTGTCTTTCGCTTCAACATCTAATGCGAGTTAACTGGATATAGTTGGGATTATACATCATGACAAGCCAAGCAACAAGCTCAAGGCAATAAAAAGTATGGTTGACATCAGTGAAAACTGTGTTTTCCTTCATGGATGAGATGCTCAGTAAGAGGAATTCTTGCAAATATCAGTGGGACATTGGAAATGGAAAATGGAATGGTTGGTTTAAAGTAAAGGATGCAATTTCTTGGAGTTCATAGAGAAATAAATAAATAAATGCCACTATGTAAGCACCTTAATCGCTGAAACTGAAGTTGGGTGGGCCACTATGTCATTGAAAATTTTATTATTTAATTATTTTAACAACTAAAATAAAAAGCAACGAGTCTTTCAGTTAGCAACTTCAGCTATTAACAAGCAGCCCCTAAGTTGAACAACAAGAGAGGAGTAGTTAAAAGACTGGTCTTACAAGAAAACAGGCATCAAGTAAGGGTAGAGGAAGGGGAAGAAGGGTAATCTTTCTTCAGTCAGTCACTCTGGGTCTTTATTGCTGGTTTTAAGTCAGTTCCTTATGGGTGGTAAATGAAGTTAATTAATGGTTTTGTTAGTGTTTCTTAGTGTACTATTTTCTTTTTCCAGTTGAATTTATAGTTTCCAATAGCTTTTGGTGAAATCTTTAATACAAGTTAAGGTTAGGGAGTTGTGATCTTATTATTAAATGCTGTAATGTTTTTTGTTCAGATATTGGGTGCCCAGTGTTTTAAAAATGCAAGGCGCAAAAATAGCGCAAGGGCCAATTTGCGCATGAGGCGCAAGGCGCAAAAAGAGTGCAAAAAAAAGTGCCAAAAAATGCAAAAAATATTAAACGCAATGTTAATAAAAAAATATAAACTTAAGTTTTAAAATAAATGTTTTAAAAAACCTATTATCTAAAATTAAAATACATAAACATAACATGTAAAGCTTATTCAAGTGAAAATTTAAAAAGAAAAGCAACCATATAAAGCATTTTCAAGCATGTAAAACCCACAATCTCTTTTTTTCCTTAATCGCATTGCTTCAAGTAGCTAACGTGATGTAAAACATATTGCATTCTTGATTCTATGAGTTGCCTTTGTACCACGCCCCTCGAGGCAAGCCCGAACAAGTTTGTTAGGGTATGAACTTCTTATTTCTCACATAAAAAATAATGATTTTATAACTTTCATTGCCTTTTAAGAAGATATTTTATTGCAATGAATGAATGAACAACATTAGCAAATGGGGGGTTCTCAGATCACGCCTAGGTGCACCAGGTGTGCGCCATTTGAAAGGGGTGTGCCTAGGACCTGGGCGAGGCACATACCCTAAAATGCGCCTCGCCTGAGGCACGCCTTTTAAATCACTGTGGGTGCCATGAGCTGTTAGTTGGATTAGGGGGGCAATGTTTCTGGAATTCTTTTTCCTTTTAATAGTAGGAATCTTCTTATCCTTATAAAAAAAACACACACAAAAAAGTCTAGTATCCATTCAACTGAAGAACAAAAAACCCACAACAATAATAATATGTATACCTCCATCACTATGTTTCTTCTTGCCAAAGCAATAAAGTAAATAAATGAACCAAAATTAGAGTGCACAAATGAATTTTATAAAAAATGCTAAATTACATTAACATGGGTTGACAAAAAAAGACGCATTATGGAGGCAAGCAAGGAATGCATTGCTTCTTAAAATAGCCCAACCCGAGCTAAGCATGCACAATTAGTAACTAAAATTAACTGAAGCACAAGTAAATTTCTAACCAACATCCCCAAAATGGTTCTCTTATGATCCACTCTAATAACAGAATGGCATGCAATAAATTATCAAAATAAACAGAATGGTATGCAATAAATTATCAAAAAAAAAAAAAAACTGAATGGTATGCAATAACATACATATGTTGCAACTCTGTAAGCACCAACATGCTACATTTACTAAGCACTCTAATGGAGGGAGAAGAGAAAGCCACTCTCTGAATAAAACAGAAAGAAAAAGAAAATCAAGTTGATAGATGCTTACCCATCACGTTTCCATGCATCCACCCTATCTCCAACAGACCAAGCATAGTCAACAATGGCTGCTCTACGTCGCTTTCTTGTCTTCTCAAATTTCATGGCAGTCCGAGGATGAGCAATCCGCACCCTTGGTGGTATATCACCTTCACCTTCAAGTGGCACCCACTCTTCTAGCTGACCAAAGCCTACAAAGCAAAGAAAGCAAAACAAACATGGAAAATATTTTCTTTAGATAATTGTGCCCAAAAAAAGATATTTGCACCAATACCTGTTAGCATGCTCAAAACAGAACATCCATGCAAGTATTTTGCAAAAAGGTATATGAAAAATATTTGAGCCACTTCAGGGATAACATGAATTTAAATAAGAAGCAATGTTTTTAAAGCTGTCCGACCATATTTTGTGAATCAAATTACCTCTCACATCTCCTGATTTTGGCATAAAAAAATACTTGATACCGTAGTATAGAAAAGAATAACCAAAAGAAAAACCCAGATTTACAGTGGACTCAACCCCTTCTATTTGCACTGGAAATTCACATGCTCGGTTTGCACACCTTAAGATGCTCATATTTGCTTGGATAATGTACTGAAGCTTCATGAAATTGTTTGTGCATAGATGATATCAGAAGAAAATGCCGTTTTATCACCCTTCACTGTTATAAGGGGTGTGTCATGTGTGGAAAGAAAGGAAAAAAAAATTGTTGTTGAAGTACATACAGCAGGAAGCAGGTGGTTAAATAGTAATAGAAAATCTAGTGGGCACATATATTTCGGTTCTCTAGATTTTAAAAGGAAAATCCAGGACAGAATTAATGACATCTTGATGGGGGATGGTGGAACAACTGTCTCCTATATCTGAGGTGCTTGGCATCTTTGTATATGCAAATTCTCCCCCTATTCCATAAAGAAACAATTGTTGAAATTAAGGATAGAAATAGTTTTTTTCTTTTTAAGAGATCAAGGATGGAAACAGTTTTTTAGTACTTTTTAGTTGTAAACTTGTAATGTACCTCACTACTTTGTAATTGTATATTGGTACCAGGCTACCAGCTAAAAACTTGCTCATTCACAGTACCTTTTGTGCACCTAATATACAATATACATACATATATAAATCAATGTTTTCAAACAGCAGTCAAAAACGCCAGTTGGATTAATTGCCCCGATTTCCAGGTGTGCATGACCCCCGAACCACTTACATCCAAAAAAACAGACTTGGCCAATGAAAAAGTGACCCAGCCAGCAGAACAATTGAACTATTTATCCTGGTCAGTAGGTCATGGGTTAGACATCAAATCTCTTTTTTCCCACTTGTAGACATTTCCATCATTTATAACAAGAATTCCCATTTATCACACTTATTTTTGCTTAATATGATTATGATGAATATATAATATTTGAGACGTGCCCAATTTTTCTGCAAATTTTCTGAAAGTTTCAGTAATTTTATCTATTTTTTGTATTTTTATTATTTAATGGGAGACTTCACAGGTTGACTCAATTGACCCAGACACTTGAACTACGGACCTGCCACCCAGACTAAAAGGAGCAACATTATACTAATCAGATAAAAAGGAGGACAAACTATACAGACTGCATAAGGATTACGGAAGCATGTTTTGCAATTTCCAACACCAATGAAAAAAAGAACTTTGCAATTGCCCATGAAATTTTTATTTTGAAGGGTTCCCAAGATATGAATCAAAGAATTTATATAATTGATAATACACAGATTTATTAAATATTGGCAACAATTCTGCCAGAAAACATCATACGTCAACAATTTAAGAAATATAATTTTACCAGATCTAAGCACAAGCATGAGATAATTCAACTAAAAATACATCATCTGGGCATTATTTGAAAGTTATGTAACCTATAAGGCCATTAATTCTTTAGAGCTCCATGCTAATAATATATATAGAAAAAGTTAATGCATTATTAACTGAAAAGTATACAAATGCTTCCCTTGTACTATAAAGTTTTATGCCATTTCAAAGTTTACTACAAAACTCCCATTTTTTTAGGATAGAAATTCCCTAAAAATTTAAATTATGAACCTCTGGTGGACAGGAAGGGGAGAAAAACCATTACACAAGTATAGAGATAATTAAAGAAATATAAAATATACAAATATATTATTTGGGCATTAGCCCCAATTTTTTACCTTCATCAGGCAGAACTTCAGTGTAACAAACATAAGCTTGTCCATCCTTCAAACTTAGTACCTTGGCAGCAAACCAGGCCCTCCTAAAACCATCCTTGTCAGAAAGAACCTAAAAAATATTTCAACCACATCAATATATAAAGACAAAAAGAAGAGTATGCAGCTAAGAACACATCCATCAGCAATAAGCAAACTTTTCCAAGGTAAAACAATAGCATAAGAAAGATTTTGAAAGTCAATTTATTATTTTTCTCCAGAATGAAATCACAATTTAAAATGTGACAGAATTAAGTAAAATGTTCAGCTCACAGACCTCTACAACAGAACCCTCTTTAATGCTACTCTCTTTTGAAGACCTTGCTGAGTGATTTCCTTCATGGTCCTTATTTTGGAAAGGAACAGAACCAAATCTTGATCCAATCTCAGATTCAGAGACAATCCCAATGGCTTTGGCAGATTCAGATGCTTTACGACCTTTTTGTCCCCCCAATCCCTTTTCGCTGCTCCTAACGCCATTCACCAATCCCATGTGGTTCTCCACCAGTGGCCTAGACAGCTCTTTTGAAGATAACTTTCCCGGGTCTGTAACTCGTTCTGTTTCTTGCTTCCTTGATGACTGCTCATTCAAATGAGAAGCAGAATTATCAAGACCTTCTCCAACACAATCCAGGTTAGATTGTCCTTCATTTGTATTGCTTGACTTAGAAAACTTCTCTGAAGAGACTTGTTGTACTTTCCAATGACCATCTTGACCAGCTTCTACTAAATCATTCATTGCCAAAGGTATAGGATCACCCATTGCAATAATAGTTCCTGCCTGTGATACAGCTTCAGCTGCCAGTTCAGCAGCTTTCACCACTGCATCCAGGTTCTCTGCCCTCTTTGTGGCAGCTGAAGCAGCTTGAACCCTTTTCCTAGCAGCCTCCTTTGCAGCAAAAATGATTGAACTCGAACTGTCGATCTTATCTCTACACTTCAAGATTGATGCAGGTGTTACCATTCCCATATTCTTCACACTATCAGAGAAAGAAGCTTCAGTAGTTTGAGCATGATGCCCAGTTCGTCTTGAGAGTAAAGCCTCATCAGCCATCTGTTTAGCTTGCAATGCAGCATCTGTTGCAACCTTAGCAGCTGCTGCTGCTGCCTTTGCAACCGAAGCAGCTGCTGCTACTGCAACAGCTGCAGAAGCTAATTTAACTTCAACATCTGAAATCAAACCAGAAGTCTTCTGCACATTTAGCTGACTCCATATGCTCTGGTTGTGCCTGACTGCAGTAGCAGCAAGAGCAGCAGCCTCTTCTGCTTGTTGCTTAGCTTGTTCAATTTTACTGCATGACTCTTTTGAAAAGATAACCCTCTGGTCCAAGTCCTGACCCCCTATTATCTGGTGCTGTGTCAAAGATGTGGATGAAGCAGTTAAATTTGCAGTAACAACTTTAGCTGTAGAGACGGCAGGGGTTATGGTAGCAACAGAAGTAACTACTGCAGCTGAAACTGATCCAGTTTGAGGCTGGGCAACCAAAGAGATGCTGCCATCTTCTTCAGAAGCTAGATTCTTTTTTCTCTTTCTAAGTCTTGGATCAGCAGAACCATTCTTGCTAGGTGACACTGTTGTTCTTTTTGCCTCAAGCAGAGGTCCAGGACCCCCAGAAGGAACTGAAGAACTCAGAGGGGAATGCTGCATACCAGAGGTTTGAGGTACTGATAACTCTCGGATAGAGGTCTGACCAGGTTGTGAAATGGGAAAGGCAGAGTAATGAGCACTGGCATCAAGCACTGAAGTTGGAGGAGAAACAATCCAGGGCACAGCAGAAGGGGCTTGAGACAACCAGGGGCTGGTATTTCCCACAAATTGCCTTATGTGCGGAGACTGATAAGGATGCAATGGAGAAATTGCCTGACTAGCATCCAGAAGTGAGCTGCTAGGCTGTAATCCATCACGGGAAGGGGCTGAAATACTCCACAAGGGGGGTGAAAGGGGAATTGCAGGATTTATAGTTGCTGAAGGATTACCCTTACCACCAGATCGACTAGGAGTACAAAGGGTTTTGCTTTGGAGAGAACTTTGCCTACTTGATTGTTCAGAAACCCTTGAACCTGCAAATTCAGTTCTTAAATGCCACTAAAGACCAAAAGCAAACTATGCTGAGATTTAATGCAGATACAGAGCAAGAATATGGACCTAGATGTGATGGCAGAGGAGTCTCAGGATTACTGTGCAAGCATTTCTGATTGTGAAGCCTCTCTAAGGAGGCATGCCACACATTATCCCATAAGCTTCTTCCACCATCTGTGAAGTTCAATACTATTATAACACGTTAAGTATTTGGTTGATAAACAAACAAATAGAAATTAAAAGGGAAGGTTAATAAAGTGTGGAGCATAAACACGAACCAGAATCACCAAAGGCTGCAACCATACATGACTCATCAGGTGCTGTTCCTTGGCTGCAACAACAATACAGAACAACCTTATATAAGAATAATCAAAGGGAGAAATATATGATGGCATATTCCAAAATCTAGTCGCATAACCCAGTGTAGTCCATAAATAGAACTGTCTATGTGACACATGCAGGTTGAACAAACCACTTAACCGATTGCAAATCAATTAGCTGGTCGTTCAAAAAACATAAAAAAATAAATAAAAAAAAAAAGATTGAATGCTTGACAGCATCATATGATCTCTCTTTGATATAGATCTCCAAGATGGGACTCATAACACCCTGTATGTTTTCCAACATGCAAGGATAGGATGAATGTTGAAAATGGTCAACAAAGCCAGCAAATCATACATAACCATAACTAAGAAACACCCTTGATTTGTGTGCTATGGTAAACCTATGATATCTATACATTCTATCAGCAGTGACTCACATCAAAGATCCATAAACAAAGATCTGAGCACGCAATTGCACTTGTTGTAAATCTGTGAAAGGCTGCAGAAACAGCAAGGATGGGGAAGCTGAATTATTCAAATCTGGCAAGGTAGATGTCTGAACAGTTGGAACACCACAAGGTTTTGCAACACTGCCTTCAATATACCCATAGGATCTCATTTCTTCACCTTGAACAGCCTGGCTTAGTGTCCCACGTGAGCTAGAAGATACATTGCATGAATTTCCACCCCTATCCTTTGTCTGCCTGGGAGGATCTTTTAAAGACTTCCCATCTTTAGCAGCTTCTCTGTCAGTTGCTTTGCCAGATCTTCTCCTACTTTTAGGCTCAGGTGTACCCTTAGAACTAGCACGTAGATCTTCCACTTCAGATGCTTGATGGTTTCCCTGAGAAGTTTCTTGTAACACCTTAGGATCCATTTGGCTTAATCCATATGTTGTTGGAGAACCTTCCACGGCCTTAGCAAGAATCAAAAGGAAAGAAGCTAAATTATTTAAAAATAGAAAAGAAAACAAAAAAGTAAAGCAAATACCTTGACTATGTAAATAAATAACAAAGAAAAAAACTACCTGAGGAAATTCATAGGGCTGAATACAGGGAAATGGTCTCCATCCCCTGTCAGTCTCTCTGTCAGGCAAATCAGCTTGTGCACTCACCTCAAAAGTGAAGCTTCTATCATTCTCAGTCGCATCATTCCCTTTAAGATCATTAGCGCTAGATCCCATTTTACAGCCTATCTCCTCCACAGAATCAGAAACACAGGCATTCTGGTCTAACGAACCATTCTGCCCCTCCTGTTTTTCTTTGTTATTTTGAGTAAGTTCACTTGAACTAATAACAATGGGTGAACCACAATTACATTCATCAGAACCTGGAATACTATCTCCAACTCCCAGAGGATGGTCTTGGAAATCAGCAGCAGGTTTAAAGGAGACCTCACTACCATTTACAGGAACATCTGCAAAGATAGATCTGTACATTAGAAAGCTGGTAAGAGTCGATGTCATTCTGCCAATGAACAAAGAATTAGCATTGCTAACTTTTTTTGACTGGTAAATATCAACCTTTTTTAAATTATGAAAAAGAAATTTTATGTACAAAGCCAAGACTGCCAGACATTCCCCAAACCCAAGTGGTTCTCTTCTGTACCCCTAATTTGCTTTGCTTTTACATACAATCTTTTGCACATTATATGTTACACTGCAATTTCCCAAAAGAGCAGCACTATTTGGGATGTAGTACTTGCATTAGTGAATATAGTATATAAAACTGATAAAAAAATTAATATAGCATATAAGTGTGTCAGAGTATGTGTATGGACTATAGTTTTGTTAACACCCAACAATATTGGGTTGAACCATCTCATCCTAGTCTGTTTTAAAAGCTTCCTTCTTCATATCTTTAAATTCTTCCATCATGAACAACCAATCCCTAACATAGGGGGTGTCTATCCACACTTTTGTGCAAGTGACTAAAAACACATCCAAAGGCTTTCCTATTTTATCTCTTGCACCCCACAACACTACAAACAGTGACATCCACAAAATGCACCCTTCATCTTAGAGCAGGCAAATGCTCTGCCTCAAAGAATTGCCTATATATCTTATGTTGTCAACTCAAACAGAGAAAATAAGTTGGTTACTGATATGACTGCAGCTAGTAAAGATTTAAGGATTTTTCCATAAAGCCCATCATAGGAATTTTGCCTTTTGTTCTTTTGGAGTAAGGCATTAATTAGCATTGCATTGCAAATTGCACAAAATGATGAAATTACAACAATAATAGCGCAATAAATAAAAAATAAATAAATCAAGCTGGAAATAAACCATTTAGGATTGGAATGAATTGATTTGTGGAGGAAGAAGGTCAAAGTGATGATTGACCAACTTCCAACTGTTAGACAGTTTATGCCCTTAGCTCTAATCAGATTGATGTACGGGTACATTTATTGTAAATGAACAAAAGTACATAATTGTTTCATGTTATCATTGGTGTTTTTGTGTAATTATCCCTTAAACTGGACACTTATGAGACTTGTGTTAGTTTAGAATGTTTCCATCCGTTGGATAGACTTGGGGAGTTTATCCTGCCAAGGCTAATACTAATGTGCTGCCAAAGAAGTTGGGGTAACCTGTCTCGGCTGTTGGGGTTAGACCCGAAGCATATGTAGTGTGTGTTTGGCACTGAACCCAGACCATTTTCCAGTTATGCCTTGGACCTTGGAGGCTGATGGGCAAAACTATAAAGTTATGCATAACCCCTAGACTTAATTATGGTACTACACTGAGTGTCGGATCGGGTTGTCTTTCATGTGCCAATCAGTGAGATCCTTTGGGGGTCAAAACCTACGTATGTTGGGGAAATTTGAGAATTCACTTTAGTGGATGATCATAGTGATAGGATCAGCCCCTTTGTCGGACAAAGTGAATGATCGGAACTGCACTCTCTCTGATGGAAGCCAAAACTATCAACAGTTGATTTCAACCGTGTTTGAGATTTGTTTTGCAAAATACATTTATATGATATACAAAATTATGATTCAAGAAAAATGTTTGCAAAAGGTTTTTAATCCCTAGAACCATCCGAGTAGAGAGTGCAACACTGCACCTTATAGTTAGGGGAGAGGTGATTCCCTGTCGAGCAGTGTTTGATCATTGTGGGGTGAGAGGTTGAGTGTAAGAGACCATTAAGGGCTTTTTACCTGATGGGCTATATCTTGCTTAAGTCCATTATCCTTGGGCCTTCATAGGATGGCTGGACTCAGGGATCATTTAACTGTAAATGTTGGGCCCATTTTGAGCCCATAATGATGGACTCAGGGGTTCACTGCATTTAGCAGTGAATTCGACCAGGCCTTTTTTTCAGAAGCTAGGCCAAACCAATGTGGGCTTAAGTAAGATCATTGTTGGGGTTTGGCGCCATACAAATTGAACCTAAATGGGCCAGCAACTATCTTGGGACGTGAGCCACTTGCTTAATGGGCCTTAGGCCCATGATTAATATGATTAATCAAGATGTCACGTGACAGCTTAAGCAGTCATTTGACATGGGCAAATATGGATTTGGATATGGGTTGAAGCACCCATTCTCATAAGAGGATAAGGCCTATCTATTGATAGAATCTAGATCCAAATAAAGATTTCGATTACAAATCTCCTAATTTGATTAGGAGTAGCGCTCTTTTAAGGCTTATAAAAAGGGAGAGGGTGAACTGCTCCGAATCATCTTTTGCTTTCAGTTCTCTCTTTGCTCTTGCCGTCCAGACTACCCAGTTTGACCTCCAATTCTTGGACTGATTTTGACCAGTTCCATCTTTGAATTTTGCAAGAAAATTACAGAGAAAAACTGTGTCCATCTCCCTTGTTCAATCCATCCAGTTGGATTGTAGTTTTGCTGAAAATTGCATTACTGAACCGGCTTCACTCCAAGTTGTGCCATCTTCAGTGGAGGCTGGTTTTGGGATTCAATTTGAGCATGAACTACCACTTTGGGAAGCTACATCTGTGGATTCCATATCAGGTATTCTTCTCCCTTCTTTTGGTTTCAAATATGATCCGGTTTCGGTGCAAGAACAATCCTTGAAAAATGCAATTTTTCTAAAACTAGGAATTCAATTCCCGAAAGGTGAAAGAAGATTTTTGAAATTTCACCCAACCATCTAGCATGGTTCGACCATCCATATGATGGATAACACCTTCCTTCACCAACAAGAGATGAAGACCCATGAACCCCTAGGTTCTTGCTAAAAGAGGCAAATGCATTGGCTCCTAGCCCTAACTGTTCATTCAAGTTAACTAACCCAACTCACCTAATGATTTTGTAGAAGCATTAGCAACAGGAATAGCAAGATTGCAAGTATTAACTCTTTACAAGAAGACCTCCAAACAGAAGCCTCCAATCCTTGGAGGAATAGGTTTACACCAAACCTCCTTAACAAGAAAGGGACAGACCAAGATATTAGAGGGTTGGGTTAGAGCCTTGAAGAATGAGGCACAATAGAAAACACCAAGGAAGAGAGTGCAAATGTGACTGTCAGAGCAAGAAGATCCAAAAGAAAGAAGAAAATTTAAAAAAAAAAAAAAAAACATCAAGGCCCTGAAGCAAATCCAAAACATCATTTAACTCTGAATCTCTTACACCCCTTCACAAACCCAATCCCAATCAAAACCACTTCTTGAGCTTGAGAGAACAAACCCAATCCCAATCCCTTGCAAGCTCTTCTTTGTATCTCGATAGGGCAAACACAAAAAGAAATTTATCTTTCAAAGAGGTTCCCCATCCAAATTTGTTCCCAGAAATGTATATTGATTCCATAACAAAGATCATACCTAACAAAAGGCAAGAATAGAGGCAAAACAACATGGATGGCCTTCTAAGGGGAGGCACCATTAGCCCTAGAATGCACTCCAGCATCCCAACCATTGGTCACAAGTCCATGAATGCTTAACACCAGTTTTGCCCAAAGTTTTATCTTTAACCACAGGTAATATCCACAACCTTTTCCCCAACAAACCCACATTCCTTTGCAATAAGTTACCTAACCATAGACCACCAGACTCCTTAATCCTACAAACCACTTCCTAGCTAACTCTATGGTCCTTTTTCTCCTACCCTAGCTCCCACAAGAAATCCCTCATCAACCTTTCCAATTTTCTTCCCACACCCACTGGCATCTTGAACACTGACATGTAATAAGCAGGCAGGTTTGCTAATGTGGACCTTATTAGAGTGATCCTTCCCCTAAAGACAAGTAGCTCTTCTTCCAAGCGACAAGATTTTTTGTAGATCTTTCAACTATAGGATCCTAGAAGCTACTCTTTCTTGGATTGTCCCCCAAAGGCATGCCCAAGTATTTCATTGGCCATCGAGACAGCTCACATCCCAAAATGTTTGCATATTCTAACATCTCCCTCTCATCCATATTTATACCACAAATGAGAAGAAGAAATTCAAGTGACCAACTCAAGATATGGAGGTGAAGTTTAGTTGGGTTAAAAGAACTACTAATGCTTTTGCCAATGTTCTAGCAAAACAAGGGGTGGGAAGAAGCCAAATGTCTTGGGCACAATTGTCATTTGAAATTTGCATTTTCGGTGAGGAGAATTGAAAAAGGTAACCTTTCCTCTGTCGCCTAATTTTCGTATTAATTAATGAAATTCTGTTATTGATCAAAAAAATAGGGGTAGCAAGGTAAAGTCTGTTATAGGGGCATCTAGTCTGGCAAACTTGCAAGAAGATGATAATATGCACCTTCTGACTGACAAGCCTTAGCTGTTATATAGGGTGCAACATAGACAAGTTGGGTCAGCTTTAAGGCCAAGCCAAGCCCAAAACAACTCGAGCTGGGCTTGGGTAAGGGACTTTAGCAGGCTTTGGCAGGCCTAGGCAGGTTGATCAAGCTCCAAGGCCTTCTTGCTCATTTTTTGCACTTCAACCTTTCATTTGAGTTTTATGGCCTAACTTAACAAAAGAATAAAAGAAAAACACCTATTAGCATGCACAATATATATATATGTGTGTGTGTGTGTGTGTATGTTTATATATGTTTGTGCATGAACCTGGACCCAAGTTAATCATATAAATATTGTAAATACACCATAAAGTGTATTTGATATTGTAAATGACAGTATACACATAATAAGCACATATATTGTAGAAGGCCAGACGGGCTTAGGTTGGGTTGGCTGCACTTGATTCAGGCTGGAACATCCTGAGGTCTCAACCCTAGCCCAACACAAGTTGAGGTCAAGTCCAATATTTCCGGACCAAGCCCAGCCTAAAGCCTGAAAATCCCAGACTAACTCATGTAAAAGCTTGGACTGGGTCAGGTTGAGCCCACCCAAATTGCAGCTCTGTTGTTGTATCAGTTTCATTTCCCTGGAGTGTGGAATTTCCCATAATTAATGAAATGATATTTACCAACCAGCTGGTTGGTAAGGTATCCTTCTGGTCATAGTGGAGACTTGGGATCGAATCCCGCCTGCACCTGGTTTGGGGGGTTATGGGTTGGGGGATGGGCTACCCCCGTTGTGTAGCCCTTCAAAAGAAATTTAAAAAAAAAAAAAAAAGATACAAAAACCTACAATGCATCAATAAAAAAATGTATTTCACCTTTGGCATGCACAAGGATGTTCTGTTGGTCATTGTTGCCTCCAGCTACTAAATTAGATTTCTTTTCTTCCTTATCCTTTAGTCCAACATTATGGGAGGACACCTCTATGGATGGCATTTCTGTCTGTGTCAGGTTCTGTCCATGATCAGGATTTCTTCCTGCAGAGAGGGAAATTAGAAAAGGATGTGTGACAATAGAGTTCCAGTACCAGGAGTTAAACGTATCACATTTTTCTGTAGTTAATGCTGAAAGACAGGTCCAGTTAAAAATACATGTGATAGAAACAACATATCTCTAACTTTTTCCTTTTTTCCTTCCTTTTGTGGAGGTGGGGTTGGAGATGGATGCTGAATGACAAATGCTACTTCCTTTTTATAGATAAAATACCAGTCAATTTCCCTTTGATGCAACATAATACCTGTGGTTTTCGAGAATGACTCTTTGCATTTCTCAGCAGAAATTCTTGTATCACCAGCACCGTTGTTTTCTTTCAGAACTGAATCATCGATACTAGGTTGAGTTTCCAATTCACCAAAGTGGTCTTGATTAACTTTGTCAGCTACCACAGCTTCAGGTTCATTATGGAAATTTGTACCAACAGTTTCAGTGGATAATGAGGACTGGGAAAATGACTCAGGCAGTTGCTCTCCAACACCATCACAAGATGCAGGTTTTTCATCTTCAGAAATAGAAACCGGCTCACTTGGCATGGAAGAGCATTCATTTGTAACCAACAAACTTGGTCCTGTAAGTGTTTCAGTTACAGATTCTTCTCTTTTTTCCAAGCAAGTGAAATTCCCAACACATAAAGATGACTTGCCATCTCCTGGAAGAAAACAAAAAACAGCATCAGGATCTTTTGCATGGGATTAGATTGGCAACCTCCAAGACAAATCCAGTTGCGGCAACAATGACAAAATGGGATGGGGGAGGGAAGATAGTAAAAATTAAGAACTGAATTGGGGACCATGACAAGGTGGCACATCCCAAGTTATCATTCAGGTAGTATATATTTTAAAAGACAAAAGCACATTATATATTGATCTTACATTATAAAGAGAGTTACCTTTTGTGTTTTTTAACTAGGCAATCAGGTCTATTAAAAATGGAATGTGTCAAATTGGTTAACAAAGCTAAAGGAAATTCGGAGGGTATTTAACTTTTTTTATAAGCATGTGGGTATTTTAACTTCAGGCCATCCTAAGATAGTGATTGAATTTTATACCTGATTCATTGCCAATAAGCGGATCAGACTTTGATACATGAACAACCACATCAGCTTCAGCAGTACATTGACCATGAGATAAAGATGCTATGCACTTGTCCATAACAAGAGAGCCAGCATTTTCACTTTCATTGTTACCTGAACCAGTAGTCATCCTCTCATTCTCCTTTTCAATAACAGGAACATCTTTATGAATATTACAAACATCACTGGGCTCAATGACCGAACTACTTCTACAAGTTTGTGATGATTCAACATTAACGGAAATTGAAACATGATCCTCTGAAGTGTCATTATCACACTGAACTCCCAAACCATTATGACCATTTTCTATATCTTCAGTTGCTTGTGTTTCATGTGTTATGTTAGTTGAGGAACAGATCTCTGCCATCAAAATGGAAGGACTTCCAATATGGCTATTGCTGCTAAAGTCAAACTCGGTTTCAAGCAGTTTGTTGTCTTCCACTTTCAATAAAGATGTCTCAGTATTACAGACCGAAACACCACATTCAAGTTTGTGGCCATCATCTTCTAACAAGTGTTCCTGATTCCCAGAAGATACAATTGGGCCCTGTCCCTCTGTTATCTGTGCTAGAGAGTCAATCTCCAACACTGGACTGGATGGAATTCCTTCATCACTATCACAGATGTTAACAGCAGTTCCTTCAAGACTATCATCCCCTTTTACCAACATAGATGAAGAGTCATGTGTCTCTACAATTTTATCACCTATCTCACCACTTTTGGGCAAAACCACAACCTCATTTTTGCTGACCTCAACAGGTTGTTCAGAACATAAACACTCACTGCATCCTTCCTTTAACTGCACTGTGGAATCAACATCCAGCACAGAGCTTGAATGGTTCTCTAGATTATTGGCAATAGTTGCAACTGCATTTCCTTTACAATTTTGATCATCCAGATGAACATCCTTACTCAGAACTTGGTCTTCCACATTTTTCCCAGAATCAAGTTCTTGCTTAGCATCCTGATTCTCATACGTGATAATCTGCTCAGAACCATCCTTTGCCTCCTGTTGATTATCTTGGGTGTTAAACTCATCAACACTTGAAACAAGACTCTGCACAGAGATAAACAAGTTATCAACTTGCATGCTCTCAGATGTTGCTGAATTGTCCTGTGGCTTGTTTTCCTTAGATTTAACAACCAGAGAACCATCTTCCCTCTCATTTGCATCACTGCATTTTTTGTCAATTACCAGGTTACCCTCACTCAATGGTGAGGTCAACTTTTCACCAATCATACTTGGATCCAAATCTCTCAAACTTTCACAGTCAGATTTTTCACATTTTTGAGTTTGAGGTGTAGCCTCAATCTCAACCTGGGGCAACATGTCCACGACATCCTGACTTAACCCTGAAAAGCTCTCCAGACACTCATCAGGTGGTAATATAGGGCCTGCATCTATAGTATCCCCAATATTTGATGGAGCGGCACCATCTTGATTCAAAGTGGGTTCCATTTGACTAGTTAATCTACCGACTCCATCACAAGCATCTGACTCCTTGATAACAGTTTTTCCTGTGATCATTTCATCCTGCCCAACAGATTTCAATAACATTTCAACAGATTCTGAGGATGTAGCCTCAGACCAAACATTTTCGTGCCTCGAAATAGAACAAGATTCAGTAGCACCTGAACTAAATTCTATCCCACTATTTCCCCGTGAGAACTCTTCAATCCACTGGTTTTCTTCTTGACCTTGGATACCAAGTAAAACCTCAGTTTCAACCAAACTATCAAACCTTAGGTGGACATGAAGACTGTCATCCAGATCAAACTTGGGAAGGGCATATGAACGTAATCCTGGAGGAAATTTGGTATTCTCTTCAGCACCTAACTGAAAATTCTGGTTTTGGAAATCATTGTCATCATAATCCATGGGTGCATCCCTACAACAATGACCATGGGGAACAAGAGAAAGGTATATTATTGATTACTTGCATCAAATTTCCTAGTTTATAACAATTATACATAACAAAGGAAGAAAACAGGATATACATCAAAAGTCATGTCCACATGCTTTTTCCCCTAATCAGCAACAAGATCAAATAGATTTAAGGATTTGAAAAAGATAAAAGACAACATTATAATGACACAATACAAAAAGACCAACTTAGCAACATCACAATGGGTCAATTAAAGAAGAGAATGCCCTACCCTGATATAAATAATCTTGATTCACCTCACTCTCTTGCTAAGCTGCCTCACATGCTTGATGTTGTTAAATAATTATTGAAAGATTAGCATTCAAGTATGGCTTCTCAGAAGCCATTGTAAAACCATATGGTAGACCTTAACCATAAATAGTAGGCCACCATTTGTCTGAAAATTGACATGTCTTGCTCAGTGAATCTGCATACAGTTAATTGCCACAGGAACCAGTTGCCTTTTAGGCAAGAATGATCTTATGAACTAATAAAAATCTAAAATAGAGTTTCTTCCGGAACTAAAATCAAGTTGATACATACATAATAATAAGATTCAGCAGAGTTTCATGAACTATAGGTTGCACGCACTCTAGGTCAGGCCAAGCCAGTCCAGCTACACTACCTTAATAGTTAATTCACAGAGGAAGAAACCTCTTAGGCTCAGTTTGAGAGGAGTGCAAATACAAATATGTACAGTGCAGATACAAGGTTTACAAATACCATATACAAGGCTTTGTGCAAATGTGTATTTTTACTCTTCCCAAACTGCACCTTAGTTCTAGGTTTTTACCTGCTGCACATGTCTGAACTTCATATCATGACTAATAAGCCTTTTGGCATAAAATACCACTAGACAAGAGGACATAAGTTTGTATTATATAACTCCTTAGGTCTTCTGCATTTAGTACTAACCTACCATAACTTCTCAAATAATTATTCTTTTTCATGAACTTGTCTTGCTGAAGGAAAACATGGTCATGCATAGAGATTTATATATTACATATATGACCAAACCAACAATGTTTCATCACCCTCGAAATAAGGCCATGGATGTAAAATCCAGCCCGTCCAATAAATGCTAGGTCTACCTTCATGGTAATTGTGTTAAGATCTTATTTGTCTCAAAGCCTTGCACCCCCTTCATTACGTAACTACCAATTAAGACTTCCCCATGCAAGAAAAGAAGGAGAGGAAGCAAAAAAAAATACCGTGGTTAACCAATAACACGTGTTCGACAATACTTTGATTATAATAATGTAGGCTTAAAAACTTTTAACATTGCAAATTGCAATCCATTCGATGTCTACCATTGTTGTTTAACATCATAGACTTGGTAGTGAGCACTAAGTAGCCAAGTTATGATAATTTTAGATATGAGCATATGCTCTTAAGACATTGGCAGTAACGAACAAAATATTATGGCCAACCATCAGTACATTAGCAAGAACAGATGGAGCGAATTGTATCTACTTATTTGGTGCACTGCCAAATAACCCATCATTGCCAATGACAAAAGAAAAGTATGACATAACAGAAATATAAACAAGGGGGAAAGAAAAAGGCATTTCATCAGTTTGAAAACATCACAGGCAAAAATCATTAGCGCCAACAAACTATGACTGCCAAAAAATACAAAATAGTAGTAACTACCTACTGTCATACATATGAACATGAACAAATATTGATAACGAACTCAAAGGAACTTACCAAAGTTCCATTTCGTGTAGCGTAACATAGATAGACTTAAATGACACTCAATTTTCATGTACAAACCTATAAAAAAATAAAACTTTATAACTTCACACTCAAAACCACTGCCCGCAGACGACAGACCATAGTTCCCCGTGTAAAGGGCGGAGATGGCACTCACCTAAACTCACTAGCACAACACATACGTAGTGGGAAAGGACAAGCATTTACGCTGAACTAACCAGTCACCATTAGAAACGAAACAACAAAAACCCTAGCTTAGTTCCCTGTGTTCCTCTTTATTTCTCATATCAACACTAGAGAGAATTGTACGTAACATGTGGAGCATCGAAAAGGGAAGGAAGAATACCAGAATAAGCAGGTGCAGGTCTAAGAAGCTATCTCCCTCCATCCGGTGACGAAATCGTAGTCGTTGATCAACCAGACCCTAAATCCTACGGACACTCGTAGGCTCATTTCCCCAGGGCAAAAGCTGCCTTAAATGGCAAAAAGGAAGTATCTTTCGGCAAAGAAACCCTAGTTTTATGACTTATCGACATGAATTCAACGTTTCCGGGGAACACCAACAGCCGGAGTTCGCACTTCCCAGCGGATCAAGCATAAGATTTCCGGTAAATCGAAGTCAATCAAAGAACTGAAAATAACAGAGTGAAGAAACGGACGAGTGATCCCTCTCCAGGTGACTTCGCTCACTCTCTGCTTTCGCTTTTCGGTATTTCGTTCGATCATTTTTTTCACGCACGGCGGCGTGGGAAAGTGAAATATGTGTGATAGCGATTTGCGATCTAATTCAAATATATTTGGAAGCATATAAGAATTTTGAAAAAGATTAGGAGTGATTTGATTATCCAATCCCCATCCATATAATTTAGGGAACTTGTCTAAAAGGCAGCATGAGTTTTCAGTATTTTTCTTAAATTTATCATAAATTTATCATAATTTTTCGAAATGTTTAAAGTTCACAATGTCACCAATTTGACGTTAAAATGACTAATGAGTGTTAATATATTATTATTTTATCTATTATAAAAATATATATCTATAAATTTATAAAAAAATAAAAATATTTTAAATATAAAATACATAAAAACACAGAAATTATAACAAAAAATATGGAAAACTATAGGAATTGAAAAACAAAATAAGAAAATAAAAATTATAGAAAAAACACCTATAGAAAAACATAACAATTGCAAATAAATAACAAAAATTACAGAAAATTTTGTAGATTGTAGAAAATATAAAAATGTAAAAAAACAGAAATTGTAACAAAACATTGGAAATTATAACAAAACAATAAAACTGTAAAAAAAACAAGAAAATTGAAAACTGAAAAAGACAAAAAATCAAAAAATATAAAGATTGGATAAAAACAGAAATTGCAAATATACATAAAATGATAAAAATTCCAAAATTATGTATTATAGAAAAAATTAGAAAATTGTAATAACACAAGAAAGCGATAAAATTTTCAAAAAGATAATAAAAACCTACACAAAAATACATAAAATGATAAAATAAAATAAAATATCAACTAAAAAAAGCAAAAATTAAAAAAATATATATTTTTTAATTATATATTTAAAAAACAAAAATTACAAACAAACTAATAAAATTATAAAAAATTTTCAAAAAATAAACAAAAATTAGACATTAAATCCGAAGATTATTGCAACAAAAATTCAAAAAATATTTCAGACTTAGATAAAAATTTGCAAAAAAAATATTTTTTGCATCAATTTGTAGAACCCTTGATGGGAATTTTCCATATTCAAAAAGATTACATTGCAAATCTATAGTACTTTAAAAATTACAAATAGAGTAATTACTTATTGATATAAAATGCGTTGAAGAGAGTTAATTTTAAGATATTCAATGCATTCAATTATCTCTCATTAAATCCAACGTTTAAGGTATTAATTTGCATTCACCTTTATTGAATCATATATTTAAGGCTTCTTTGTTTCTACTCATTGTTAAATTCTACATACATAACAAATTAACAATTCCAATAACATAAAAACTTATACTTTTAAAATCTACCCAGGAAAAAAAATAGTGTTTTCATATAGGTGGTGGTAAGAAATCAAACCATTTGGGTTAAATGGGCTAATCTATGTTGTCACAATTAAATAATAAAATAGAAAATATATATAAAATGAACAAAATATATAAAAATTAAAAAATGGGAAAGTTTTTAATATCATATATCTGGCATATTAAATAATAATAAGTATGATAAACAATGTTTTAAAAATCGACCCGGATGCTGACCCACTTTTGCTTTCGGCCACAGGTCACTAGTTCGACTATCAAGGTCAAACAAGTCAAACTACTCTGTATCAACACTATGTGTGTGTAAAAATGCATATTTTATCAATAATCAATATTATTATGTTTTACACATATCATTGTTATGTTTTACATATATTTATTATATATGTATTATATATGTTTTTTAGTTCCGTTTTAAATTTTTATTTATAAAAGATATTAAAATTTACAATTTGGGGCCAAAAAGGTTTTTTTTGTAAAAAAAATAGTAAGGCAATGTGCACAATGCCCTTGGGACATATAAATCCTAAAAAGTTACTAAAAAGAAAAGATAACCTCAATCGGACATTGGAGTGCAAAGTTATGGCTTCCAAAAGTTTGCACATAATTAAATGTGCAACATGCAACTTATTTATTGGGTCAATCAGGTCAATGGTTGAACTGCCCAAGTTAAACAGTTTTTAACCAAGGGGGGTTCAATAGAAACAAACCTAAAATCAAGACCGAGTGACGGTTCGAACGGTTCAATTAGGCAAGTCAATAACAAGTTAAAAACATTGATTATAAATAATAAATGTTTTTATTAGTGATGGAAATGAAATGTAAAATTTAAAACCAATTTGAAGTAAAACTATTTTCCTATTATCTCTCATTAAATCTTATATCTAAGGTATATTCTCTTATTAAATCCTATATTTAAGATATATTTCTCTCATCGTTAAATTCTACTAATTAATCCATAACATTAATTTTAATAATATAAAAATAAATATTTTGAAAACAAAACCATTTTCTTCCCTCTTAGTGGTGGGTAAGCAATTCAACCACTTGAGGTTAAATTCATTAATAAATAATGCTATAATTAAATAATAAAAATTAAAATAAATAAAATATATAATACAAAAAAACTATACTAACAAAAAAAAAGTATGAAATGTAAGAAGTATTTTTGTAAATGATGAAAATGGAATGCCAAAATTAAAATCAACCTAGAAATGAAATGATGTCATAGTCAAATAATAAAATTTTTAAAAATAGAAAATACAAAGAATCACAAAAATAAATATTATACATAAGATATAATTTTATCAATAATGGAAATGTAATCCAAATTTTAATGTCAACCTATAAATCAAACTATTTTTCTTTTTGGGTCGTGGGTTAGTGGTTTTGGGTCAAATGGATTAATTGATGATATAATAGTTAAATAATAAATATTTAAAAAAATAATAAAAAAGTTCAAGTAATCAAAATAATATATAAAAATTATATATTAATTATGTCAAACAAAATTTAAGTGTGATAAGTAAAAATTATTAATATTATATAGATGAAATATATAATTTAAAACTGATCCGAAAGCAAAGCTGTTTTCTTTTTTAAATGGTGGGTCAATGATCCAACTTCGCAAAGAAATTCATGATATCATGATTGAATAATAAATATTTAAACACAAGAGATATAACACGAAAGATAAAAAAAGTACGAAGTTTTGTCAAAGACATTTTGGAACATTTCTAATATTATATAATTATCATATTAAATAAAAAATAATTATTAAAATAAAAGTTCGTTTTGTTTAAGACATAAATGGAATAAAAAATTTAGTAGTAGCATCAGTAGTAGTAGTAGTAGTAGTAGTAGTAGTAGTAGTAGTAGTAGTAGTAGTAGTAGGTAGTAATTGTTATTGTAATTTAAAATTTCTACAGGTGCACATTTAGTAAAAGTATTTAAGTTTATTTTTAACCATATTGTCACTTTTATTAATTTCTAATTTCTATCCTAGCTATGATATATCTAAAATTAAAGTAATTAATATGAAAAAAATCCATACATGCAACACACGTGCTTAATTACTAGTGTTTCAAAACCTAAAAAATCTTTGAAAATTTTGATTGTCTTCTTTCAAATCTTCAAACAATAGATCTGCGCGGCAACAATCTTCAAACGAGAGAGAGAGGGTGGTGCAATGGCTATCTTCAAGATTTGAGTGAGAGAGAATGTGCTACGGTGGCGACAAGGTCCAAAGAGGATGGTGGCAGCGGCTACCTTCAAGATCTAAGCGAGAGAGAAGGTGGTGCAACAACAAGATTTGAAGAGGGTGGTGTGGTGACAAGATATGAGCAAGTAGAGGGTGGTGCGGTTACCTTCAAGAACGAGAGAGAAAATGCTACGGTGGTGGCAAGATCTGAGTAAGAGAGAGTGATGCAGCGACTACCCTAGAGAAGGTGGTGCGGTGGCCAAATTTTAGCAAGAGAGGCAGAGAGAGAGAGAGAGAGAGAGAGTTTCGGTTTAACCCTAACCTAAATGACCCTTTTTCCCCTAACTCGTCATTCAAGGGTAATTTGGTCATGAAAATTGTTATTTGTGCTGACATGGCCACTTCTGTTAAGAAACATTAACGATGCACTAACGGAATGTGAGTAAACTCACTGACATGGGGTTCCCTAGACGTTTTGAAAAGTTGTGGTGAGTTTAAGAGAAATACTGAAAACTCATGGTGAGTTTTAGACAATTGCCCTGTAATTAAAAAAAAAATAGTTTGACAAGTGTGAGAGGACCAAGAGGGCCCCACAAATTAAGAGTTGTGGACCCCATAGGGGAAGGGAAAGGATCTAGATCAAAGACCGGCTTTAGTCAGTGCAAGGCTCATTCGAACACCGCCGAATAGCCTTTACAGCCTTGCATCAGGGAACATCTCTGCACTTCTATGCTTTATTTCATGTTCCCAATGCAAGGCTATAAAAGGTGTTCGAATGGCTTTGCACTGACTGATTCCAGTTTCTCTAGACCCATCGACGTTTGGATTTCAGAGAGTTGGTCATTGACATATAACACTCATGTAATTTTTTCTTTTGGTAATAAGACAATTGTATTAAGAACAAAGAAGAGATTACAAAGAAGGTAGTGAAACCAACCAATTTGCTAGCCAAAGGGGTATAGCTTCAGTATATACACCTATTTCTAACAGCCCTTTCTTTGCAAAGTTGTGAACTAGCAAATTGTTCTCCCACCTATAGAAAGCAAAAGAGTAGTCCAAGTCTTTACATTCATCCAAAATATCTTTACAAAGAAAGAAAGCATCAAAAGCTTCCAAGGGATTCTTAGATATCAGAGCCTGTACTATGATTTTGTTGTCGCTTTCAACCACAAAGGACCCCTACGGCCTTTGCTAACCTAACACCTTAAAGGCAAGCATAAGCTTCTGCTTAAAGAGATGAAGCGGTTGTATTTTTATGAGTCCAATCACCTCAAAACCCACAAATGAATGTATCATTAGATAGAGATATTTGGAAAATCCAAACCCATTAATTAAAAACCCGTTTAGATTCCTGTAAAAACCTAGTTTGTCAAAAATCCAAACCAAGGAACTAAAACCCATTAGAATCCCCTACGTACCTGCATTTTATTTTCCATTTATGCTAGGATAGCCCTAGTATTTGGGTAATGCAGATCACACTTACATATAGAGTGTCTATTGAATGATTGTGAGAGAGGTAATTTCTTATTTGAAGCTATGCACGTAAGACAATTGTTTCGTCTTTATGTCCCAGACCTAAGA